AGAAAAAATTAAAGAATAACTGCAATAAGAAATTTTTTTCTTTATATTAATATACTGCCTATATGATTATTACTATAATCTTAAATATATTTTTCAGAAAATAAACAGGAAGAAAAAGAGGTTTGGCTATCTGTACTCAACAAGTAGTTAATGTTTAGCAAACCTTCTTTCTACTAATATTTTAGTACGACAGGCTCTGAACAATAGTAAAAAAATAATCAGTAAAAGTGGATACCATAGTGATGAAGTATCTAAAACAAATAATAAACTTGCTGAAGAAGAAAAAAAGCAAAGAATTCAACATTAACTTAATGACAACTAATACAATTATATTGTGAAAATTATAAAGAAAGAATGGTAATCAAAAAAAGTAATTATTACAATAAATAATCTATACTATATAGATATCAGTACTAATATACTTTATATACTTTTTAGTTAAACCAGATTTTGTTGCTATGCGATGATACTTTGCTAGCACAAAATCAAAATAAACTAAAAAGAAATCTGCGGAAAAGTGATAAACTCAAAGATAATTCTACACAATTAACTGGGGTTCTCAGTTGGTATGTTTTATACAACTATGATTTTGTTGCTTCTCTTAGTACTTTTTGTATAAGTTTTTCTAGTGCTAGTGGCTCCAATATATATTTTGGGTCTAGTGTTGTTAATTCTGATTCATATTTTGTGTCTGGTATTGCTGCCCCTAATACTCCTGATATATATCTTGGGTCTTGTGCTATTGTATATTCTGGATCTGTTCTGTTGCTCTTGATACAAATTCTGAGTTTGATGTTAGTATTCCTGATACTAATGCTGACTCTAATACTAACCACTCTGCTGCCTTTGATAGCAACTACTCTGCTGCCTTCACAAAAAATTAATTTGATGCCCTGTAAATAATAATTCTGCTGCTCTGATACAATTTGTGGTAAAAGTTCTTTTAGCATCTATCCTAATATTATATCTGGTACAATTTTTAATATTTTTAATGCAAATTATTTAAGATTTTTACTAAATTTTTGTAATGTTTTATTTATATAATTTTTGAAGTGATCACTAATAATGATGATACTATTGTAACAGCATACAAAAATAAAAGTAAAACTATTAATAATTATATTTAATTAATTTGGTATATATTAATAATTATTTTATAATTTAGAATTAAACAAAGATCTTAATAGTTATCCTATCAATATTGTTAGATCTTCTAAACCACATTAGAGCAAAGGTAGTTCAAGTTAAAAAGCACCTAAAGGTTCTAAACATAGTATTAGAAAATAATTTATTTTTAATATATTTAATTTAAAAAATTACTACAATTCACAGCCTGTAAAATTCACAGGTCTGCATTTAGCCAATCAAATTTATTATAGTTTACTTTAAAAAAAGTTTTCTATTTTTGTTAGAGTTGGGTTAAAATTAGTAAAATTTAGCAAGGAATTTTTTTACTTATAATACCAAAGATGGTTTCTTAAGCTAAATTTTGTGTTATAAGTAATTTTTTATTTTTTTTGTAAAAAAACTTTGTTTTTGTTATACAAAGAAAATTTGCAGATCATGTTAATTCTGCAATTTTGATTGGTCAGATGCAGGGCTGTGAATTTTACAGCCTGTTAAGATTAGCAATTCTCTTTAATTTATATTATATATTTATTTAGCTATTAATTATATATATATAATATTTGTAAAAGAAATAAATATATTAAATAATAAAAAATCAAAATGTCACTTTTTAATTCGACAAAATCTAAGTGTCTAGGCGTGAAATATCAAGGAGCAGGCGCCAAAAGAATGGATAGTTTTTTTTGGGGTCAAGTTTTCTTTCTGGCAGACTTCCCAAAGTATTTAGCATACAAACCAGAAGGTTTATTCTGGAAACAAGTCTGTAGAAGTAGCCAACGTGCACTCCTAAGTAGTAAAAATAAAAAAGCTGGACTATACAACTATAAAACTTACAAGAAGAACCTCACATACTCTTGTTGGCCTACCACTTTTTTTCGAGGAAATTTTTGTAAAAAGTAGGCGTTTTAGCTTAACCCTCCAAATGATCAACATCACATGTACCTAACAAGTTGATATTATTTATCTTCTAAATCAAAACATGACAACAAACACGTGTATATACATGCCTCAAATGCAATAGATATCCATAAAATGATGCTTTGAGACTCTGTTTTGACCTCTCTACTTTAAGCCAATTGATAAAGTTTTTTCTATCAGGTTTTTACTTTCACATACTAGTTTAGAGAAAAATAGAAGTAAAAACTAATTTATCTAGTCAGTATATAATTTTTCCAAGCCACCTACAGGCTTATAACCATAGCATTAAGATTAGCAAATTTTCTGTTTTGTTTTTGTTTTTTTTCGATATTCCTTTACCTCTTTTTTTTTCATATTTTGTATTCTTTTACCATAGTCCTCTATACTTCTGTGTTTTTTTTTAGTTTGTTTGTTTTACTTTCTGATTTTGCTTCTTGATGAGCAGGTAGCTGCCAGCCAATAAACAACAGAAAAAAAGTCCTTAGTGAGTTAAGG